TGGTAGCATCAAACTTTCCTTTTTTGCAGCCCCCAACAACGCACACAACCAAGACGCCTACAAGCATGGCAACCAGAGTGAAATCCTGTCGTGTTGACCCCAATTTAATCAAACTCAGTTTCTTAACAGGGGGGGTGCTTCTCCTTGGGTTTAGTGGGGAATCATCTCTTTTGGAGGTTCCCCCCTTATTTCATCAACAGGGATTGACGAATCTGTGGTCAACATTGTATTCAAACCACCCAAAGTGGGCAAGGAGTTGTTTCACAGCACCAAATGGGATCCCTCAAATGGTTTGTTGTTGTGATTTTCCGTTGCCTCTTTGGAACCGCCAAATAGGATTGGGATTTGGATTCGAACTTGCGATCCTAGGATCGGCAGCAAATCCACTGGGTCACTTATCCAAACCCTTACACCCCAAATAGCAAAACCTCGATGCGTGTCCCAGGCGCCTGCTGCAGGAAGTGGTGCAGCTCCCTGCAGTGCAGCTTGGCTCGGAAGGCAGCTCGGCGCGGGGGCTGAGGCGCGGGAGCCGCTGCGCTGGACATGGCCCCTGCGCTGTCGGTGGGTGTGTGACGTTGTGGAGAAGTACCCCAGCCTCTTTTTTTGGTAGGGAAACCAAGTTAACAACGAACCCCCCCCCCTTTTTTTCTGGTGGTAGGGAAACCAAGCTAAAAACGAAGTTGAGGTACCTGCAACTGGAAATGATCCCAGATGTTTGGGGGCAACATCCAATTTTTATGGGTAGTGTAAAGGTATAGGTCCCCCTTGTTTGGTGTTTAAAGGGACACCAAAAGTCGAAGCCACCATCTTTTCGGGTCCCCGAGAAAAAATCGACACGCGCGAATGTTTGATGCGAAAAAGAACAACACATGACTCAAGAGGTTCCTGGGTTGCTTTCTGCTCCCCTGGCAAAAGTTTAACTTTTAGCGGTTTAATGGAAAACCCATTAGTTGGCAAAAAGTTAAAGTCCTAACATCCAAGCAAAATGCACCAAAAGTTCTATGGGGATTGACAGCCCTGAACATGGGGGGGTTCTATGAGATCCGTGTGGCTCAGAATTCAAAAGCCAGGGTTACGCAGTCGCTCTGGTTTCCAGTCATCAGGCTTCCATTTTGAGGATTCCGTAGTTTTGAGCAGCCATTTCACATTGGACACCAAGATGCGTCGTTTTTGCCAACACTCCAGAAAGTATTGCGGTCGGTGTTCATATATGGCTGCAACCTGCCCAGGAACCTCAACACCTCTGGAGAAGAGCCGGTCAGGGCCCGAAGAGGCCCCAGGGCTCACTTTCGATCGAGAGTGGCCGAAACTCACCTCACCTGGCCGTGGGACAAAATCCACACCCCGTGCCCCACGTGCCCCCAGTGAACGGGACCGATTCAAGCCAACCACTAAAATAGGTAACCTAAAATGGGTGGTGAATTCACCGAAAACCCCCCAAAATGGGATCCCATTGGTTTTGACCCCCAGCCACCTGTGTGTTTGCCACTAGGGAACCAGGGTCAGTGAGTGGGGGCCATGACAACTGAAAGAGTTTTCATGGCACACTGAGCGGCTCTGCAGTTTGCAGGAGCCCATGTCTCTGAGAATACCTGTCATACTTGAGTAGTCATCCTTCCCACCTGTCTTCCATCGGAGGAAACGTGGGCGGGACAACCCGAAACGCTCAGCTCAATGCGATTTACTTTTGCAACCCGCATTGTCGCTGGAACCTGCCCCCTCGAACCCCTCTCGGCATGAGTTTTTTTCTGAAAAGCACCGGTACCATTCCAGACAGGTCGAAGCCCATATTTGGTCACCACTTAGGTTTGGGGTTTGGGGGGGTGTGGGGCAAGGTACGCAACACTCCGTCCCTTTGCATTTCCAAGTTGTGATGCCTCATTGCCTGCTGCACACACGCTTGCAGTTGAAGCTGCGCGAGATCCCAAAATAGACCTTTTCCGCTGGAGTGCAAAAGCAAGACCCTTGCCCCCAAGCGCATCCGCGCATGCATTGGCCACAAGCAAAACCACCTCTGATCTAGACTGAGGCTGTAATGCCTAGCTTGGTTTTTGACCCCTCTGCAACAAGCTGTTGCTTCTTGTAAATCCAATAAAACATCCACTTTCCCCAACAATTAAAATCCAACAATACAACCAAATAACCCTAAAGGTAGAGGACCAAGCATATGGGATTTGCCAAGTAGTTGGAAGAAACTCTTCTGCCACAAGTGCGCTCCGTCGCCTGAGCAGTGCTTAGTAGGTTGTAGCCATGGTAAGGGGGACGATCACTCAGGTTACCAACCAGTCAAAACCTTGGTTACAACCTACCTGGACCCTCAAGCTACCCTTCAAACGAGTTGGAACGGGTTGCAACCCGTTTTCAGTAGGATAGTTTGAGGGTTATAGCCTACATTACGCTGCTCTGGGGGAGTGGAGTTCAAATCCCATCTGCGAATCTAAACCACCAATCAGCTTCCCCGTTGTTTGGCCGTTTGGTGCCGAATCCTTGAAGAACCAGGGCTTCAAATCCAAATCCAAACCACCAATCCAAATCACCAACTAAGAGGTACCCGAGCCAAGGCTTACCCAAACAACTCCTGAAGAATTAAATGGGCTCAGCCGTTGGGACTATCCCTTGCCAATCTTTATCCAATTAGATCAGGGGACGATCACATATTGGTACGCATTACCAGGAACAAGCCAATCAAGTCAGCGGTTTCCTTTGTTCTTTCTTTGTTTCCTTCCCTGCTTCCTTTCTTTTCTTTCACTGTTGATTTCCTTCCTTCCGTCCTTCCTTCTCTTTTCTTTTCCCCGTCTCTCTCTCTCTGCCGCCCGCCTGCCTATCGTATCAGCAAATCCCCGTGGCAAGCGAGCGCTGGGCCGCTTAAACACCACGGCAGCAGGGCAGAGCGAGAAACACACTACTTAGGTCTTCGGTTCGTGTTCACCAAAGGGCTTCATTGGAGCATTTGGGCCTTCATTTGCCAAGTCAATAAGTGCTGAACCAGGATTACTAAACCCATCCCGTTATTAGGGGAGTGTTCCCTCACAAAGTGATGAATCCCCACTAAAAGCGGACACCCCCCGGGGTTTATACATCCGGGGTTAATATTCGTAAGTTGTTGGTTATCTAGGTCATAACCCACTTATAAGCCCCCTTAAGAAAGGTTGGCCTTTTTACTGGGTGACAAACCCCAATTGACTAGCCACAAACACTAACTTGGCAACGAGCATCCAAGCGCTGGTGTGGTATGTGGTTTTGGTTGGTTGCTTTTTGTGGTTTTGCGGTGCCTACCCTCTTTCCGATGGAAGTGGACTCTGGGGTCTTCCAAAACCTCGAAAGAAGGGACTTTCTGCGGTGCCAAAAGGGGTTATCCCTACTGTTGACCCGGACTTTTCTAAACTTTCTAAACCACTTGTTTATTAATATTGTCCCAAGTTTTAGTGGGGATTCTTCACTTTTGGAGGGGTGCTCCCCCACATGAAAACTGGGGCTTGTTTGTCAGGGATCCCCTACTTGGATGTTCGTTGCCAGGATAGCAAGTGGTAAGACAACTGGGCTTTTTCACCCCCCTTGTAACTGGGTGAACCCCAGCTTTGCGGGTTATAAGTACAAGTGGGTTATAATCGAACAGGTACCAATAGCTTACATTTGTTTGGCCGAACTCTCAAGTACGGCTTAAATCTTGTTGAAGGGTATCCCCATAGAGAAAGCGGTCCTCAATCTTCCAGAACCATGGATCTCCATTTGACCTGAACTCGGTGGAGCTACCGATGTATCCCCCCGCATAAAATAAGCTCGGAGCTCCAGGCGAGAAAAAGGGGGACACTTGGAAGTGAATCATGCGACAAAGTGCAAAAGGAAGCTTTGCCACTGAACGTTGAGTTGGGGAAGTCTTCCTTTCTACCAAACAGAGAACAATGCAGTAGATGATTGCAAGTTGGACAGACGCTGATCAGGTAATGAAGTGATGGCTTCACTCACAGATTTCTTGTGCAACCACTCTCAACTAAAGAAATCGAATCCCCAGCCCGTTAAGGGGGGGCGGACGTCTAAAAATGTAATTTGCATGCGCCACATCTGACTTTTTCAGCAACATCAGCTTACATTTGGCGACTCCCCCACCCCCCGACCCACCCTATCAAGCTTCCCAGGAAAATCCTTGAACATTTCCGTCAGCTTTTGTTGGGGGGGGGGTGCCCAAGTGTCAAGCTACAATTTAGCCTCCGGATATGCACACCTGGGGCGGGTCCGCTTACATTTCTTTTGGCGGGGGAAGTGCGAATTGCATTTTCAGACTTCTTCCCCCCCCCCTGCCCGTTTTCGTTCGGGCCCCAAGGGGGTGGGGATGAAATTGGGGTTCCTGAGCCCGAAAGAACTAATTACCCTTCAAAAAGGAGAATTCACCCACCAAAATTGTGGGTTGCAATAACACATGCATGTGGGTAGTTTGAGGGCTTAATTTGGGTTCCCTCATGTTTGTGAGTTTGCTTGTTGCATGAGTTTGACGTGGCGACTGAGTGGGCGTGCGAGCTCAAATTCGTCCAATGGGATTCCTTTGGGTCTTTTCTGCTGACAAAACAAGCCTAGCCGGCATGCCCTGGGTCGATTTTCAGGGGCCCCCGAAGTGTGGTTTCCCTTTCGGTTTCCATTCAAAACCAAAGTAAACAAAGCACCCAACCGGAGAATGACACACCCACATGGACCCAACATTTCACGGCCCCAAGGCTGAAAGCTCAGTTTTTGGGAACCCGCGACGGCCAAATCGAATGGCCAATTGCAACACTTTGGTTCGTTTGCCCGGACCAACAAACCGTCCACCTGGACCCTGAAACTACTCTTAAAAGAGGGAAACCACCCCCTATGTTTGAGCAATAGCTCGTTTTTCTGGGTAGTTTAAGGGTTCAGGCACGATATTCCGATATTCAACATCGCCGGATCATCAAACCACGTCAACCAACGTGTGATGTCCGCAGAAGACAACAAAAAAGGACGGCGACGCGTCCTTGACGGCGCACCACCTCCCCTGCAAATCCCAGGCTGCCGGAGATGTTCAGCTGCACGTCTTCCTAGCATCTGATTGCCACCGCCCCATAAACCATAACCTCCAGGCCCATAAACAGGGATCCGGATGCATTCACCTGAACATTGCAACTTGTAAATGGTGGCTTCCAACTTTATCTTGGTGCTGCAAAAGCAACATGTTTCAAATGGTTGCGAGATGTATCTTTGAAGGAGCCCTGATAAACCATAGGAACCTCCAAAGGAGACTTCGCGCCAGCCATGAGGTATAGAGGGACCTTACCCATTCCTTCCAGGGATCCTTCTTTCGGAAACGCGGAAAAAAAAAAAAAAAAAAAAAACGGATCCGGTGGTTGAGAAGAGCCATGGTTGAAAGGAATGGAAACGGAAGATCAACCTCTAGAACCATGTTGCATGTGTGTCCGATGGTCCCAACTCGGTGGCTTCCCATGGCAAGACTCCCACAAGCAAACAGCAGGAAACGACAAGAGGTTGCTACCAGGTCACAAGGTCTGAGGTCGCTAGTCGTTTGAAGTAAGCAATCCGTGATTTTCATTTATATGGCAATGTGGCTGTGGGTCAAAACCAATGTTATCCCATTTTGGGGTAGGTGCACCACCCATTTTAGTCTATTTTATTGGGATGTTCACGGGGGTACGGGATTTCGGCCCATGGCCATATGTGTTCTCATCTGCAGTGAGATACAACACTCAAACGAAGCCCGAGCACATCTTGCCTTTGTCATCTTGGACGATGGTGTTGCAAATTACTCGCAGGTCGCAGGGTTGCCAATTACATAATGTTCAGCCGTGTGTAATTAACAGGGGTGTGAACATTGCCGTCTTTGTTCATGTGAAAAGTGACTCATGTGCTATCACAGAACTAGGAAAGCCCTTCCCCTCAACTGCGGAATCCCCCTAAAAAGGGAGAAAAACCGGCTTGCTCCCCCAAAACACGCTCTCTCCTTTTTTTGTTCGCTTCTTACCCACTAAAGAGGGGACCGCGGCAATAGGTTGCTTTTACCCCCGTACGCTATGATCACATTGGCCTTTGGAACCACTGAAAATGGATCCCTGATCCACCTCAGCTTTGGCGCTTCTGATCTTATGGCCACATGAGAAACAAAAACACAAAAGTAGCCGTTTCGGGTACTTGCACCATTTGTCTTTGGCCACAGCCGAAAAAAGAGGAAAACACTTTTGGAACCCGTGCCCAAAAGGGGCAACGTGGGGATCATACTCTGGATGGTTTCAACATCCGACCGCGTAGATGTATGTAGATGGCTCATCCATCAGTGGGGAATTATCATCCATTGGTGCAAGCTTTCGTCCACACGTGAACCCACTCCTTGGGGATGATCAGCGTGGGCGCGAGGGCCGAGATGACCTGGCTGCTCTTTGCCAGCTTGGAACCGGATAAAGGTGATCACCTTTTGGGGCCACTAAACAGGGACGAAGAAAGGGGAAAACTGGTCAGACCGAGTGAACTCAGAAACATGGCCTCCCCTACAACCATTCTGTCAGCCCCTGTTTGGTGGTGATTGGTTTGCCAGCAGGTTCAAGTCCCGAAACCAATCCCAACCACCTCCAGGATATCTTTATGGCATGGAAAGTCACCGGGCGGCGATCTGCCCGATCTGGGTACGGTTTGCCAGCCCTCAATACTCGGTGGAGAAAATCCTGTACCAGTTGGTGTGTGTGGTTTCTCCCAACTTTCACTTGGTTTCGTTGAACCCGACTTTCTCCATTCACAGTATGGTCGTGCATTTGGGCCTCCGTCGGAAAAAGAGAAGAAGACACGTAACGGCGCCCTCGATCGGATTCTCGCTCACCACTTCTGTCTGCAACATATGTTGCTCCGTGCTTGGAAGTCGCTCAGCCCGGGGTTGACATGAGGTCTTTCATAAGTTGTTGCAAAGGGAAACCAAAGCGAAGCTAAAGGGACACCACTTTCGGGATCCGATCAACCAGACCTCTGTTACAACCAGTTGCAGAGACTGTCGCTTTCTTCTTGGAAGTGAGCCAACAGAAAGGGTCACTTATACTGTGGATGGACAAAATTCTGCACCACCTAAGCATCCCTGGAATGATGATTCCCATGTAAATATCAACAACCAATGGTTTCCCATGGGTTCAAAGTGATACAAAATGTCGTCCATCCACAGCATGACTCATGTTACGTAAGCTCCCATTTCCACTTCCTGAAGAACTCGGAGATCCGCTCGTGGGGCTGTCTTGTCAGCAAAAAGGGTCCAATGAAAGCCCTCAGTCGTTTGAACGAATGGGTGAAGGCACAAATTTGTCTGTGGCTCAAAGCATAGTACCCAAAATGGCACTTTGGTATATGGCAAAGAGGGTTTCAAAGGGAAACCACAAGGAAAACCAACATTTTGGAAACCCGGCAATGTAGGGGGTATTAAACCAACACCACATGTACCAGCACGCCCCCAACTTGCCTGCTTTTCCATGTCCAACATCGTCTTGGTAATGGGCAGTGGCTGGGGTGGGGGGGGGGGTGCTGGTAGTCAAACAACATGTTCACAAAGAAATTCAAGAGGGCGATTTGGTCAAAACGTGGCCAAGCAAAGCAAGCAGGCTGGCCGGCAGGTGCTGGTAGGTCAGCTGGATGCCGGAACCTTTCAAACGCGAACTTCAGTACCCTCCCTCCCACACAGGGAATTGGTCCCTTAAGGAAACCAATCTTCCACCCTACAAATGCTGTGTTAGCGGGAGGAATGGTACCCAGTTTCCGAAGTGTAACGAATGACTTGCCAGGGGTCGTTAACAACAAGGCTGCTACGAGCCCATGTATGAAGCACTGGAATGAATCCCTAAATTGGCGAATGCACCTCTATACCTCTCATCTAAAGCGGTCAGTTAACTCTGACTTCATTTCAGGCTTCGACTAAACCAACGGAAGTGTAACAAGTCCATCAAGAAAAGGTCTTCTCTCAGCCAAACGCTTTTTCGAACTGAACAGATGTTTGTCCTTTCAAATAGGGTGCCGGTGTCCTCTCCAAGGTATTTGTGGTGCCCAACAAACAATCCCTTCGCCTCGCGCGCCTGCAACTAACGTCTACTCACACTGGAAAGACACCCCTCCTGGTACGCAAAGTGCTCTTGCGACAAGGAATGTTGGTGGTCTCGGCAACTTAAAAAAGAAGCAGGATGCGACTGATCGATAGGGCCCAACACAGTTAACCTATAATTAGGGTTAACTTTGAAATGGCCATGGGTCAAAAAACCGTACCCCCAGTGAACATCCCAATCCCCACTAAAATAGACCAAAATGGGTGGTGCATCTATCCCAAAATGGGATCCCATTGGTTTTGACCCATGGCCATGTGAATGACTTCAACTGCACCTCAGGCTCTAAGCTTCCTGCCAGCTTTCATTGGTCGCCCCGAACCAAACACCTGAACCCTACACACAACCCCTAATCCTGAACCCTGAACCTGAACCCCAACCTAACCGTCGAAAAGCATCATGTCTGACCGCCGTCCATGTCTCTCATTTTTTCCCAGGGAAGGACTTCGTGCAAGAGAATTCTTGGGTGTCTTGGCAGGTCCCAGTGGAGAATGATGCACCAAAGTGTCACAATGCTGGACCTAAATGGCATGTTTCCCCCTTTTGAAGGGACATGGACCAAAGCACCCATTAAAACTGGTAATTGCACCCCTAAATTATGGTGGGCGATTTCCAACTTTTTTCTGGGTGGTTTTTTCGGGTCCAGGCAGTCACAACAAGACGGGGTCCATCCAAAAAAAGGAACCCGCAAGGTCAACAAGGACGCGTGTTGAGGCAGGGGCTGAGCCAATAAGTTCCATCCAGCGACACCTCGATGAAGAAGGCCTGAGGGTCGACTCGACCGTTCCCAGACCGTTTTAAGGTTGGCATCACTCAAAATCAAATGAGTCACAATCACTCAAAATCAAATGAGGTCTGTCAGCGCATGCGTTGGGTATGAGATCGCAAATGCGTCACAATCGAAATCCGGAAAAAATGGTCGTAATCCCAGAGCCATGTACAGAACTAAGAAGGCGGCCGCAGCTATGTATGGTTCGTCCCTTACTGAGCTTCACTTACCCGGGTTTTGAGCAAGTGGCTCAAACGAAAAGATGTGAAAATAATTGAAATTGGACGAGAGTTTGATGAAAAGTTTTGGCCTTCCTAACGGTTCCCCAAGATATGGGCGCGTCTTTTCCCAAATAGGTTGGTAATCCTTTTGGTTTGCCTTGAACACCATCCAAAAAGGGGCCCTGAGTAAAGGCGCACCCATATCCCCTCCTGACAGGAGTCTGAGAGTTGTCTTAAATTCGGACGTGCGAAGCAACGGGTTTTCCTTTTCTTGGACTCGGGCTTAGAGTCCAATTAGAATCGATGTAGCTTTAGTTTAAGGCTGAGTTTAGGGCTTGAGGAATCATCGTTTCAAGGATTAGTTTTGGGCTTAACTTGGGTGTCATGGCGCGGTTTAGGTTCTATGAGATGGGCTCAGCCACGGTGAAAGGTCAGCCAAGGGCCAAAAGCCAAAAGCCCAGAGGAAAAAAAAGCCAAACCAACAAGCTAAGCCAAGAGCAACATGCCAAAAGCGAAACAAAATCTCAGAGCCAAAAGACTCAAAACAATACGTCGGAAATGCAGAGGAGTGTAAGATGGGCTGCGGCATCGATTCTTCCCGCTTGTATTAAAACACACATGCCCCAGACCCAAAATTACAAGCTACAAACACATGTGTGAGACACATGCCTTGATTCTGATCAACACTCAATGATCCACCAAAAATATGGCACACCTATGAGAGGAACCTTCACTATGGGTCGATTTAATAACTTGCCCCGCACGCTATAAAGCCGGTGTAAGTGTAGGGCAAAAGACCCCTAAAACTCACACTGGGTAGGTGGGATCGATTGGGTCTCTAGCGAAAGCGGGAATGGATTCACTGACTCGCCCACGAACCTCACCAATCTGGGTGAATTCGGCACTAACACTTCCCCATCAAGGTGGGGTTCACCAGCAAACTGCAACACCCGTTGTACTGGTCACCATTCGAGTCACCCCCCCCCAAAAAAAAAGAAGCCTGATTCCTCAAACTTTCCATAAAAATCGGTTATTGCCCCCAAAACATGAGGGGTGGTGTCCCTTTCTTAAGGGAACTTTGAGGGAAGCACGCCCTTTTCCCGCAAGCAGACTCGAAGCTGACTCCGTGCACGTCGCACGCGAAGCTCGAGGCCTTGCTGATAATGTCCGGGGAGCGCTGCGGGGGCTCGGGCCTGCAGAGAGAGCCCGGGAGTCAAGCCATCCAAGTGCCACGGGCCTGTCTTTTGCTCCAAAAATAACCCTTTTCTCTGTCAGGACTCACCCAAAAAACCACTCACAGCATTGGTTTCCGGAAAAAAACCTTCCTTGCGGTGGTTCCCTTTCAAAGCCATCCAAAACGGGTACCTGGAGCAAAGTTTCTCCTCGTGTTACCTGGAGCCTCAACAACTTTGAAAAAGGGAGTTCACCCCAGAAGTTTGAGCAGAAACCAATTTGTATGGGTAGTTTCCAGGGTTGAGGGAATCTCCAAAAAAGGACATGCCCACAAAGCGTCGCATGTCGAAAATTCAAAGGGGCGCTTGTTGAAGGTGCTTGTTCATCCCACCCCCAACTCATGGTACAAATAATTCAGACCCACCAACATGATAGCGTGGGAGGACTGAAACACATTTGCCAAAGGGCGAAAAAACAAAAATAGTTCACGCGCTGGAAAGCCGTGATTGTGAAGGCAAGAACGTCAAGGATCCGAGTTAAAGACACTTTGATTTCGGGATTTCCAGCATTTCCACTCAACTTTGTGGGTTTCCACATTTTCTTCCGGGAACTGCCAACTTTGTGGTTCCCTGGCTCAAATCCAAGACCCCAAAGGCATCAAGTCCCTGGAATTCATACCACCATACCAGGGGGCCTCTCAGGAGCTTCGTCTAAATCGGGTCAACTTGCCATTCTGGGAATTTGGACAAACGAACAAGCGGGGATACGGGAGCGGGGATATGGGGGGATTCCCTTGGCGCCATTTCCCACATCAGACTTAGCCAAGGTGCAGCAAACGGGGGAACCCTCCCGTATCCAACTGTTTTTTTTTGTATCCCTGCTAGTTGGTTTCCCTTAGGAATGGGCCTGAGGAAGCCTATGGCCTTTGTACCCGCCCAGAGCTGGCAGGTTGGTAAAGATCCCTAAGCCTGCGCCAAGTCACAGTTCCGCTCGCAAAGAAGGTTGTGAAGTCACAACACGGACTTTGTATGTACACATATATATATATATATGTTTATATATAATTGTATAGATGAACCCGGTTGTGTCTGTCATCCGCGAAGATAATGCTGAGGCAGTTCAAGGGCCAAGACGAATTTGGCAGAACCCGTGAAAGTTTTGATTTGGGAGTGTCACCTTTTAGCGGGACCCCGGATCACTTTGGTTGGGCCCGGCACCCTAGCAGGATGAGTTCCTTCTTCCGGGGGTATTGGAATCAACCTTCAGCGGTGGAACTCCCTTGACCTCGTGAGAAGGCCGAGGTGCGGAATGAAGGAGATGGCCGAGTCGTTGTGAACCTGCGACTCGTCTTTTTTGGCCAGGAGCCTTCGAGCTTTGAGATAGAGTTTTGGTTGCCACTCTCAAACTACCACTAAAAGTGTTGGGATTTTAGAGCAAGAGCTCAAGTTTTATACGGCTAATTCGAGGGTGGAGTGTGTCCTTAGGATGTGGACCCTGATGGCGGTTTTCGGTGATGCTGCTGGTTTCCTTTCAAAGCCACAAAACAAGGGCTACCCCCAAAAGGACACACTCAGAAATGAGCAACTTGCTGGACACCAACCCAAAGGCTCTCTTGTGGTTCAATGGTATTCACAATTTTCTGGTTGTTTGGCTTATTCGGGAATTCGTCAGCGGATTCCTAGCCGCAAATATTGGCGGTACTTGGAACCTGATGGCAAGAACAGACTTATCAATGGGAGTTGTCCTAAGTTTGACCTATTCTAGTTTTTGGTCGAGGTCGCCAACAGCAACGGACCGAAAGACACCCAAGAAGTGCAGTGAGAAGTCACAGGAATGTCGGTTGGCAGTATTTTGCGGAAGGGGTGTGTCTTTTGTGAGGGTTATTAATCACCGTTGGTGGGCTTTCAAGTGAACCCAGAAGTTCGGAAGACCCCATCACTTGTGGGGGTGCCCTCATGGATTCGGATAGCTTTTGGTACCGCAGTCTATTGGACTTCTCGCAGTTCACTCCATGCCTCAGGCGAGGAGGGTTCGTAGCATGGACGGCTCTACCCAAGCCATGGACATACGCTCACCAACTTCTTTGATCAAGAATGAGGCGCACGTATTCGACCGGGTATATGAGACACACACACACTTGTTTTTAACAACAAATAAAAAATATATATTTATATATGATAAATATATTATATTATACATGAATCATCCAGCAAATGTCGCATTGAACATAACTCGCACTCTGAAACAGACATATCTATTTATCAACAAGCCAAGCCTCCGATTTGTCAACATCCTCCGTACAACTCGTCGTTCAACATATACTTGTGCCGTAGCATTCCTTGCATGTGTAGCCCGTGGCTGTTGTTCCCTACCTCCTCTGCAGTACAAACTTAGCTGACCACATGGGGATGGCTGGCTCGTCTTTTTTTGAGGGTACCCTTTTCGTTGGTTGGCAATTCTCATGGCAACAGGAAAACCACGCTGTTGGGACGCCCCCAGCCTCAAGACTCGAGCCAAAAGCTCAACACTAGAACTCGGAGCAACGGTTCTCCGGGCCGCGGGACAATGCCATGCGCCTCAAAGGGGATACACCGAACTCCGGAAAGATCTGGGAGGAACTTCCCCATTCCTTCCCCGGGTCCTTCTTTCTTGAGAGGCTCCCCGGTTGCCCAGGGAAAACAGCTGGTTCTTGGAAAGAAGGATGGCTGAAAAGGATGGGTCATAGCCAAGGTTAACGATACACCTGACTGACTTGGCGAAGCGAACACCTTTGGTATTCCGAAACTTACAACCAGCCGCAGTCTTTGGGCCCCCAAACATCGACCCGACCCCCGCTTGGGTCGATTCTCGGTTCGGTTTTTGCGCCCGCCTGCACGCTGGTCGCCAGGCGTCCGCCCATTCGCAGATGCAAGGGGATGTTCGCAGGGAAGCCTGGCGCCGCCGCTTTCTTTGGGCGGCTCGTCGTCTTTTTGAGGAAACTTAGACCCACCCAAAGCGGCTTACGGTTTTCCTTTTGGTCCTGCTTTCGAAAAAGAAGGTACCTGGACCTCAAATAATCCATACAAATTGGGTTGTTGTCTCAAACAAATGGGGCGATGTTCCTTTTTTGAGCGTAGTTTGAGGGTTACCTGCATTCCTCCTCCGGACAGCTCAAAAGGCCCGACCGGCCATGAGGAATATGCGGAAAATGGCGCCAGGCAACCCTGAAACGCTGCCGCAGGCAATGAGCGGCCCGACTTCGCAGCTGAACTTCGCAGCCTGCCCTGGAATTGGGAATGCCATGGGGACCCCCTGTACCTCGACCGATAGGAAAACGACAAGCTCTTACAAGGCTCGGGGCTGGCACCTCCCCTGTTAGGCTGCTCTGCAGCACTCCACATGAGCGAGCAATCAGAGTGAAGGCCGAACCACGGCTCGCCAGTGGTCCCGCGGCCAGCTCGGCGTACCTCCAAAGGCCAGCCATGTGCTCGGCCGCCATACTCGAAGACCTTGTGGAGAGCTTCTGACAGAGAGCCAAAGAGCGGGCAAGCGCCCGTGCTCAATTGACCTTAAGCTTGGAGAATCCTCTGCTCCATTCTGCCAGTCACCGGTAGTTTGGAGTTGCGTGTTGGGGTTCCAGCACCTTTGGTGGGCATGGGTCAAAATCCCGTACCCCCAGTGAACATCCCAATCCAACCACTAAAATTGACTAAAATGGGTAGTGCACCCAACCCAAAATGGTACCATTGATTTTGACCCGCAGCCTGGCGGGCTGTCGTCTAGGCAACGAAACAAAAGCGACCTTCCCCAAAGACTCTGACGGGCAACTCTGCAGCAAGTCTACAGAGTACTCTCCTTCTCTAATCTTGGGACAAGATCTCATTTTGTTCAGCAAGGGCCATTCATCAATTCTAACAAGCGTAGAAGCTTTCTGAAGCAATCTGCTCTGCAATCTCTGTTGATGGAAGACTCATCCGTGGCCCTTGCCACCCTGGCAAGCTTGGCATTCCTTGCTGGATCTGCTGGAAAAGCATAATTCTGCCTCCAGGAGCAGCAGGTGGTCAAATGTCAAACATATGTAACTCATCAGCTGGCTGACATTTCCCACCCTGCAGCTCGCTTAGAACACCTGCACAAAAGACTCGTCGACCGATTGAATCGGACCCGAACCGGTCCATGGTTGCCAAACCTGAAGGTCAAAGCAACTTGTGCACGGTTGCCAGCCGGGAACGCATGTTGGAACTCGGTTTGCTCTTTGCTTTCGCCCAAAGACTCCGTACTTGGATATCTTGGATGTTCCGCCAGCCCAGTTAGCAAGTGGTTCAATTGGCTGGTGTTTCTCGGCCCTAATAACAAGGCGGATTTGATTGAACGGGAAAGTATATGTGGGTTATAACCTAGGTTCTCAACGACATACTAAATTGGCCGAACGCCCACCCAAGTGGTGGGTAAACAAGCATCGCCCCAAAGGCCGAACGATGCTCAAAGGTTAAACCGTCACAAAGGTCAAAAGATGTTCACAAGTGGAAGGTCAAACTGCGCATTTCTTTGGGGACTCTGACATCAAGAATCCCAGTGAAACAGCTGGCTTCTGAAAAGAACGATGGTTGAAAAGAATGCGGAATCAACCCTAGATTAACGGCCTAAGAGCAAAGGACATCGGAACTTCAAAAGCCTGCTGGCGAATCGTCCCTGGGCCTACACCCATGGCTGTTACTCGCGCTGGTGCGGTTGGATCGAAGACCACCTGGCAGGACCCAATGCTTCCCCACGCCTTGGTGTGGTAACATAAGAACCGTGGCTTTTGCCACTGCTGTTTCCCCCACTAAAAAGGAGGAGAACCACCAAACTAAAAGAACAATAAGACAGGAAGAGAGCCAACAACAAAAGTAACAAAAGCAACATGCCAAGAACAGGAACTAATATCAATGTTCTACCCGTGTGGTGTGGAACAAATGAGACTCGGAGCAACCCTGGGAACACCTTGCCGACAGACGCGAGCCACGGCCAGCAGCAAATCCGGCTGCGCCAAGGCGAATAACTATGCAAACGACGTAGAAGCACCAAAACATACAAAGAACAGCGAAACAAACAGAGAAAGAAAAACCATATATATATATAAATATATTAAAACAAAAAAACAAAGCGAGAAATACAGAGACAGAGAGAGAGAGAGAGAAAGAAAGAAAGAAAGAAAGAAAGAAAGAACGAAAGAAAGAAATAAAGAAAGAAAGAAATAAAGAAAGAAAGAAAGAAAAGAAAGAAAGAAAGAAAAGAAAGAGAGAAAGAAAAAGAGAGAGAGAGAGAGAGAGAAATAAAGAAAGAAAGAAAGACAGAAAGAACGAAAGAAAGAAAGAAAGAAAGAAAGAAAGAAAAGAAAGAGAGAAAGAAAGAGAGAGAGAGAGAGAAATAAAGAAAGAAAGAAAGAAAGAAAGAAAGAAAGAAAGAAAGAAAGAAAGAAAGAACGAAAGACAGCAAGAAAGAAAGAAAGAAAGAAAAGAAAGAGAGAAAGAAAGGAACAAACAAATAAATAAATAAAGAAAGAAAGAAAGAAATAAAGAAAGAAATAAATAAACAAAGAACATAAAGAAAGAAAGACAAAGATAAGCAAACAGAAATAAGGAAACCATGACATGAATATATACAACAAAGATGCTAAACAAGAATCAATCAAAAAAATAAATCAATGAATGAATAAAGACATAGAAACATACCACAATACATAAGAACAAACACAAAGCGAGAACAACACAACATGAAAATACAAACACATAATGCAAGGATAAAACAAAAAAAGAAGAATGAAAAAACAACACATCTGCTCAAATCAAGGGCCAGTGTTGTCAACCACGAGTGTATCCCTGTTGAACCTCAATATCCTTGAACGCGTATCTCGTGGCCACAGCACCTGTATCGGGGACCATTTGCCTGGGAGAAGCGCCAACTCTGTCAACGCTGACCCCACCCCTCAAATCGTGTAGGTGCGGAGGTTTCAACAGGACAGCCCTTCAAAACAGGGCATGTCCATAGAGTGAAGCACATCGCAGGCAAAGCTCCTTTGGCTGTTTGGTGTGGCTAAAGCCATCCCTCAAACGACCTCCAAACAATGCTTTTGAGTCAAAGTCGGCCGGACTCAAACCTGCGAATCCAATTTGGTGCCTCTAAGCACCTTGAGTCTGATAGGACAGCCCAAAAAGTCAGCATCGGCAAGCTGCAAACAACGTTTAGCAAAGAAATCAAGGATCATCTGACTCATATGGGCAACTTCCAAAACATCACAAGAATCGTTGCTGTCCGCAAAGACAAATCAGCAACATGGTCGTCTTAGTCCATCCAAACTTCCCAAACGGGGCTCGGTGAAACGAACACCCAACTAGGTCCTCCAGAGAGGTCAGAATAAGGGTACCAACTTTTTTCTGTTGTCTAATTTAGTAGGGGAACCCTTCCCCAAAGAAAAACGGTGAGAATGGGCACCAATTGCTGAAAAAGCTAGCCAAGTTCCGAATCCTATGTCAAAACCGGCCGCCCAAACCGAATCCCGCGGAGTTGATCGCCTCAGAGGGCCAAATCGTGAGGATGGATGGCGCCACCTTGAGGTCCACGTAGTGGCCTGCTTTTGTTTTTCCTCTTTGTTTGTTCTCTTGTTTTGCTATGTTTTGTTTCGTTTTATGTTTTTATTCTTCGAGGAAAAACACAAAAAAAAAAACATACAACCCGCTTTATGGGTAGTTTGAGGGTCCAGGCATACACTTCCACTGGACATCATGAGGGTCGCAGAAAAGAAGTACTTGGCCATGGCTGCAATGTCCGTCGCAGTCCAGGCACTTGAAAATTGTGAAGCTGTAGAGCTCTGAACCCTACATTTAAGCGACAAGCATGCTCATGTGTTTTCGCATGTGGCTGGCTTACTACGTCTATGTTCATTGTGAGGCAGCCCTATGTTTTGAAGGCCAAGTCAAAGGATTGTCACAGGATCCCATGCTTGGTCCAGCCAGAAGGCTTATTTTTTTTTTCACAGGCGATACATCTCAAGGGTTGGTTCCAAGCTCTTCGAACATATTTGTTTTATTAAAATTCAATATCTCAGTTGTTCAGTGACCCTGGAAAAAAAGGAAACTTTTTTTTTGGGAAGACCATTTTAGTGGGGCAGCCAGCAAAAAAAAGGAAAAAGGGAGCCACTGAACAAGTGAGCTATAGAGTAAACAATTTGATACTGGTACTGGCTCGTGAACTTGAATGCCAATAGTTGCAGACTGAAAACCACTGCGTTAGCACCAAGGCTTCCAAAACCTGAGGGTAGGGACCTCCATAAGTGAGCTCATTTGACCTCAGGCGAGTCATATTGTAAGTGAGGTAGTGCTGATCATGCCAACTTTGACTGAATGCACAGGATCACAAAACCAATCAGAATACCCCTGCATTGACCTAATCCCTCATTCAAGTAGGGTTCTTCGGATGAATCCGGACTTGATATGGTCCGGCTGGGCGATGTTTCAATGGAAACAAACAAAGCCCTCCATTTGCTTTTCCATCCCCCGGCAAGAGAACATCTGGCAGTGATCAATTCTTCGTGAAACCAATAGGACACTGTTGTCACATTCTTCAAGTGAACACATACTTCGACATACTTATATAAGGCCCCGCGGAGGAAAAACAAAAAAACACTTGCCCCCGTGCCAGCGTGCCAACAAGAAAGCCAACCATTGCGGGATCCCTCAATTGCCTGCATTTCTTTTTCGTCCCATGGCAAAAACAAACAAATCCAGTGGTGAAAATTCCCGCTAGAGCCAATAGGGAAAATTGAATATGTTCTTCAAGAGGAAGATTCGTTCGACATAAGGCTCCCCGAAAACCCCTTTGTTTCCGTGCCCGCGCGGGAAAAAAAAACGGGAGAAGAACAAAAAAGCCAACCCCCCATCTTCCCCCCCCCCCCCCCGGCTGCCTTCCGCAAAGGGCTCCGGGAACTGCTGGCAGTTTGGGGAGTAGCTCACGTGCAGCCGGCGGCTGACCATCTCCTGACCGACAAAAGGCGGGGCCGCCAGAACCCGGTGGCCAGGATCACCCGTCAGACCAGACCTGGCCATGACCCCGAAGAGGGGGTCACCCGAGTTTGGAATGATGGAAACTCCAGGAAAACCGTTGCTTTATCCGCTTCAAAGAACTCTTTGATCCATGTTGAACCCTGGAAATCCACGACTGTTGTTTAAACGTCCTTTGCACCTCGCCTGTTTTTTGCAGCTAAAGCCTGTTTTTTGCGCCTGTGGTGAGCCATGGCGTGGTATTTGATGGATTATTCACGCTGTTGCCACGTTTAGATTGTACAAAGCCAGTTCCACCCCAACATGTCTTGACACAACAATTTTGGTGTGAACATAGCGGTCCGTGATGTACGCAAAAGTAGCGTGAAATCACCGTGAAAATACCGTGAAATTGGCGTGAAAGCCTGTTTTCCAGCGTGAAAGCACGTTTTCTGCCGTGAATTTTGACACCGGTCAATCT